ATAAGCTCCACCCATGCAATGGATAAATTAACAGCTTCAGCATGTAAAGACAACTTCACTTCTTTAATATTAATGACAAATAAAGTGACTCTTACAATACATCTTGTTTGTTTCTATACTCACTATTAATACAATCCACTCAAGTTTATTTTATTAAAGATTCCACTAGGTGGCGACAAATTATATTGTTGGATGAAACGTGCTTACGTATGATGACGTAAGCACGTTAGGGCGAGCCCTCCCGGAAGCCGTAGAGAATGCTTTGCAGCGCCCCCCGTTCGAAAAAAACATCTTTGAATGTAAGTCTATGGGAACACTCGGGGCGATTCTCAGCCGGAGTGAAATCGCCCAAAAAGAGGCGGTACTCCACAGAACGTGACATGACGCTGATTGGACTATATCCAGAGGCACAGTGACGGCTAGCGTGACTCTGTGGTTGAATGACATTGGTGGTGCGTCGCCCAATCGCCCTAATGAAGAAACCGCCCCTGCATGCGACACTCGGCCAAGAGAGAGTGGAGAGAGAGAGAGAGAGGAAGAGACTTTTCACGACTTTATTTCCACTAAAACATGAACAAAAAAACCATTAGAGGGAAAAAAAACACGTAAATTGTGACTCAACAAAACATGAAACTCTTAACAGCTGTGTGTGCACGAACTGCACACGGCACAGGGATAGAGGCTGTGCAAACGAGGCGGTACACGGACATCTCCGTGTGTAGCAAAGTCGCTACCTTCAAGGGTTTTTCGATTTGATAAAGAATCAAATGTTTTGACATCAGAATGCGATGTGAACAAAATACTTTTTTTTCTCCCCGACATTTTCAAAACGAAATGGCGTTGACGCGTCAAACACCTGAAATCATTCTTTCTTCAATGATTCTGTTGTTGGTTTTCATGAAAGTGTAATGACAGGGTGACACCTGGTGGCGTGGATGTGTGCGGGGCCACGGGTGACGAGTCAAATGAGAGAGATGTGAAGTCAGGGCTGGTCCCACCCCAACGAGAGCGAGCGGCAGAGGTCGCAACCGGGTACCCGATACCCGTACCCTACCCGGTACCCGTACCCTACCCGATACCCTACCTGATACCCGTACACTACCCGATACCCGGCTACCCGTACCCGGCTGGGTACGGGTACAGGTAGGCCGTGAGTCACTGGTGAGTCACCGTTTGTCACTCATTTCCCAACGTCTTGTCTCTTCTCACAATTCAAGTTCCTAGAATCAACCCACCCGCGCCTGCAACGTGGCTTCATCCCAGAGGTCGCAATCGGGTACCCGATACCCGTACCCTACCTGATACCCGGCCGGGTACGGGTAGCTGGGTATCGGGTAGGGTACGGGTACGGGTACCCATTTGCGACCTCTGGCGTGCCGGCAACGTGAACATGTAGAGTGAGCGGCCGGGCAATTTGCAGTTTGACGGTGAACACGGCAGAGCGGACGTGAGGTCCAAGCGGTGAACACGGCAGAGCGGACGTGAGGTCCAAGCTGTGAACACGGCAGAGCGGACGTGAGCTTCAGAGCGGTGAACACGGCACAGCGGACGTGAGGTCCAAGCGGTGAACACGGCAGAGCGGACGTGAGCTCCAAGCTGTGAACACGGCAGAGCGGACGTGAGCTTCAGAGCGGTGAACACGGCAGAGCGAACGTGAGGTCCGAGCGGTGAACACGGCAGAGCGGACGTGAGGCTCGAGCGGTGAACACGGCAGAACGGACGTGAGCTTCAAGCGGTGAACACGGCACAGCGGACGTGAGCTTCGGAGCGAACGCCGAGCGGTAGGACGCTGTCCGCGGCCTGACGAACGCCGCCGCGACGGCCACGCGGCACTACGGGCGCGTGCCGCTTGTCGGCAGGCGCGCGTTGATCGGCTGCCGGCTCGCGGGGAAGTAGCCGGGATACGCCGAGAGGTTCCGGACCGGAGCAGGGCCCACCCTCGGCGGGTTCGCAGCGTCGCTGACGATTTTGTGGAGGAGCTCGCTGGCGACTTCGCGCGCTCCCTCCACGCTGGAGCTCAGCACCGCGGGGAAGAAGCCGCCGCCGCCTTCGCGCATCATCGCGGGAAGCGTCACCTTGTAGAGGAGGCCCAGCGGCTCGCCGGGCTCCGCGCGGTGAGCGTGCAGCTCAAAGGTCGCCCAGCCGATGCCGGCGCTCCGTAGCAGCAGCTCCAGACGCGTCTCCCACGACAAGATGGCCGCCTCGGGCAGCGCCTCCAGGCTGATGGGCGCGGGACGCAGGTGCTGAGGTGCCCGTCGCAGCCGCGTGAGCGCTGCCCAGTCGACAAACAGGCTGCTGCGCGAGGCCTTGCCGGCGCCGGTAAACTCCGGCACCGCCACCGCCGCCACCGCCTCTTCCGTTGCCACCTCCGGAATGGCCCAGTCCAGCTTGACGGTACGGCCCCAGGGCTGGAAGGGAATTTGAAGCAGCTTCTTGCGCGCCACGACGGCCGCGCGATGGCTCTCGTATTCGACGAGCGCGTAGCCTCGGTTGGGGCTTCCGTCGAAGCGACAGAAGCGCGTCTTGACGTCCACGACGCCCTCCGTGACGCCGCTCATCGCCGCCATCACCTGCGCCCGCGTCTTGTCCTTCGGCAGCGCCCCGACGAAGAGGCGGCGGTTGTCGACGCTCACGCGGACCGCGATGCGGTGCCCGGGACGGATCTCCAAGTCGTGGAGTCTCCTGACGGCGTCGGCGGCTTGCGAGCGCGTCGCGAACGTGGCGAACGCGTAGCCGCGGTTCTCTCCGTGGTACGTCATCATGAGGCGCAGCTGGTACAGCCGCCCCACCGCCTCCAGCACGGGCACCAGCTCGTCCTCGAACAGGTCGCTCGGGATCCTCGCCACGAACACCTCGCAGCCGCGGGCGGGAGGGGGGCCCTGCCAGTGGGGCGGCGGTCCCAGCTTCCTCTGTCCGTTCTCCTGGACGATGCTGTAGCCCGTGCGCAGCTTGAGGTACAGAAGGTCCTTCTCCATACAGCTCATGATGTCGAGCACCGGCGGCTTGTCCGCCGCGGTGACGGTGACGGTGGCGGTAGCGGCGACGGGGCAGCGGCTTGGGGCCCGGTGAAGGCCTCGACACTCGCCGCCGCAGCAGAAGAAGCCTCGCGCCGACAAAGCCACGGGGGGTTGGGGGGGCGGGATCGACTCGCGAAGAGGCAAATCCACGGCGGGAACTCGCTCGGCCCAAGCCTAGAGGCCCAGCAGTGGAGAGAGGAAGAGAGAGAGAGTGGAGAGAGAAACGGGTGCAGAGAGACGCGGTTAAGCAGAGCGACCTTTGTAAACTCGGAAAATCACAATCGACTGAAAAGAGAAATCCAAGAAACTGTGTCCTGGCTTTTTGACCGCTCATGTATTGTAACACTGGTCAACACACTTGTTCTGCAGTGAGGTATTCCAATCAATAGAACCCGAGTAGGTGGGTGGGTGGGGGTGGTGGTGGGTGGTGGTGTGGGTGAGGTGGGTGGGTGGGATGAGTGGGTGGGTGAGTGGGTGGGTGAGTTGGTGGGTGGGTGAGTGGAGTGGAGTGGGTGATGGGGTGGGTGAGTGGGTGGGTGGGTGGGTGAGTGGGTGGGTGAGTGGGTGGGTGGGTAGTGGGTAGGGTGGGTGGGTGAGGTGGGGGAGTGGGATGGGTGGTGGTGGGTGGGTGGGTGGGTGGGTGGGTGAGTGGTGGTGGGTGAGTGTGTGAGGTGGGTGGGTGAGTGGGTGGGGTCTGAGTGGGTGAAGTTGATGGGTTGGTGGGTAGTGGGTGGGATGGGTGAGTGGGTGAGTAGTAGGTGGGTAGGCTGGGTGAAAAGTGGTGATGAGTGAGGTGGTGGGTGGGTGGGGGGAGTGGGTGGGTGAGTGGGTGAGTGGGTGAGTGGGTGGGTGGGTGGGTGGGTGGGTGAGTGGGTGGGTGGGTGAGTGGGTGGGTGGGTGGGTGAGTGGGTGGGTGGGTGGGTGAGTGGGTGGGTGGGTGAGTGGGTGAGTGGGTGGGTGGGTGAGTGGGTGGGTGAGTGGGTGGGTGGGTGGGTGGGTGAGTGAGTGGGAGGGTGAGTGGGTGAGTGAGTAGGTGGGTGAGTGGGTGAGTGGGTGAGTGAGTGAGTGGGTGGGTGGGTGAGTGGGTGGGTGAGTGGGTGAGTGGGTGAGTGGGTGAGTGGGTGGGGTGGGTGGGTGAGTGGGTGGGTGGGTGGCCACAGTGAGGAGGGTGAGGGGGAGGGGGGGGCAGAAGGAGGGGGGGCGAAGTGGGGGGAGTAGGATGAAGAATGGGGGAGGGGGAGTGGGGCAGGTGAGAACTGGGCATTACACTGGTCCACACACTTGTTGTTCTGGCATGAGGTATTCCAACGGTTGTAAGGTCATTTTGATGTGCTGATTCCAAAGCTGGCATCAGTTTTTGTCTATCACGTCAGGTTTTAGAGATATCAAATATTGCATTTTACTGGTAGGAACGAAGTGAACCAGCCTACAATAGATTATATCGTCCGTCCGTCCGTCCGTTCGTCCGTCCAATGTC